TCTCAGTGAAAAACTTGTCGAGATTCAGCTAACAAACGGAAATTTTGCCGAGATCTCAGCTAACAAACATATTTTTTGCTGAATTTCCAGCAAAATAAAATGCCGAATGGTGGTGCCCATCTCGGCAAAAAAAATCTAAGTGTGAAGATCACACCCAAGTCTTTCACCTGATTCACGCGTTCGATTGTCGAGCCAAGCAGGCGAAATACTATCGGTTGTTGTTTTCGTGAGAACTTAATAGCGGAGCATTTGACTGGGTTCACTACCATTCTGTTTAACCTACACCAACTAGCGAATACATTCAGTTGACGTCGAAGAAAGTGACAGTCAGCAATGGAGCAGATTCGTAGGAAGATTTTGAGGTGATCTGCATATGATAACCGAGGAGCTTCGATGACCAGATGCACGTCGTTGAAGTACAGTATAAAAATTAACGGTCCCATGTGGCTTCCCTGAGGTATACCTGATGTGGCGAAGAAGCTAGCTGATCTGCAAACTCCTATGGCAACCTTTAGTTGCCGACCGATAAGATATGATCGAAACCAACTCAGAAGATTACCGCCTGCCGAGTTTAGCAATCGCAATAGCATGGTTCAACTTGTCGAATGCTGCGGATAGGTCTGAATAAATAACGTCCGTTTGAACCCGAGAGGGCCTCCCTTAGCTCAGTTGGTAAAGGCGCAGCTATAAAGCAAGACCATGCTGGAGGTGGCTGGGTTCAATTTCCGATCCGGTCTAGGAATTTTTCGGGTTGGAAAATTTCTCGACTTCCCTGGACATAGAAGTATGATTGGACTTGCCACACAATTATACCAATGCAAAACTGGTACAGGCATCGAAAGCTCTCAATTAATAACTGTGGAAGTGCATCTAGAACACTAAGTTGAGAGCACGCAATAAGCTAATATGCGATATGCTTCTTCTTCTTCTTCCTCGCATTTAAAGCTTGTTGCGTATGGCATATTAGCTTTTTGCGTGCTCTCAACTTAGCGTTCTAGATGCACTTCCACAGTTATTAATTGAGAGCTTTCGATGCCTGTACCATTTTTGCATTAGTATAATTGTGTGGCAAGTACAATCATACTCTATGCCCAGGGAAGTCGAGAAATTTTCCAACACGCAGAGAATTTTCATGTAGTTGAAACTAAAAATATAATTTTTGAATTCAACAATTCGATATTTTTATTTCAAAAATTAGTAATTATTGAATCTACAATATTTTTTATAAACCCGAAAAATTCCTAGACCGGACCGGGAATTGAATCCAGCCACCTCCAGCATGGTCTTGATTTTTAGCTGCGCCTTTACCGACTGAGCTCATGGGTAATATTTTTACTCATTTAATGGGTAGTCCCAGTCTCCCTCGAAAATGCTTACATTGTAGTCATTATTGGGTATTTTGCGGTTACCGTGTACCGGTTGTTTCATGAAAATAGTCTCTTCAAGTGTGCCGTACGCCGTTTCACACCGACAAACCGACATGAAACTTAAACTTAACTCTTGATCGATAATCCATAACGGCCGATTCAAATGTGCAGCGATCCCATCTGTCAAAAACCATAGAAATGTTTTATCTGGATAAAAATAATTTGTCCGAAGTAGATTAGTCACGAATCAACTCATAAATTTTGTACGCGTGTTCGTGGCCAGGATAAATATTTTCCGCGAACACGACGGTAGATGTCAGTTTTGTGATTTGATCAGAAATTTCTTTGTAATTTGTATGATCTGTATGATTTGGCAGCCAAAGAGGAGTCTGAGAACGGCGAACGTCTTCCAGATACTTAGCGTTTAGCCGGGGCAGGGAAGATATCCTTTGCGGTTAGCTCCCCCTTGCAGTTAATTGCGAGGGGGGCGACACATCTAAATCTCAATACTAGATGCTCAAAAAAATTCACACTAGCGAATCAATCTTCGAAAGCTCTTCTTTCAGTTCTCGCATCTACTTGCATTTTTTGCAGGAAATCTTCAGAATCGTCATTAATCTTCTTTCTATCTATTCAGCGCGCACGCAGCTAGCCACAGCAAAACACAATCTTTCCTGCAATGTAGATAGAGTCTTCCCCCTCGGTTAATTGGCGATCTGCCACTCTTTTCTTGTGGCTTAGTTCCCTAACCACGGCCGGCTGAACCCGGGAAACCCCTTTGGTACACTCCTAGCCTGGCCATGCTGGGAATTATTCCTCTAATCCATCATCAATAGTTATCACTTTTTTGCATAGGCTCAAATTTTACGGCTATGAATCAAAGGCTTGTGGCCTTAAGGTTCTACAAAGGGTCATTATTTTGTTTACTTCTTCTTTTTGAAATATTCTTCGATCATCATTTTCTAAATGTATTGGTAAAATTCATGTCCCCACGCCTAGACTGCCCATTTTTCATAAATATCAACTGGTATGGTGAGGAAAACTTAAGGTTCTACAAAGGGTAAGTAATTTTGTGTTCTTCTTCTTTTTTAAATATCATAAAATCACCATCATTAGTTTACACATACATTCATATATCCAGAACAACATGTGAAAAGGGCATACAAGCTTTTTGTAAACAAACCTTCTTATGCCCTTTTCTCGCCACCCATATGACACCAACGCAAACCTTTAACATCACCGGGTAGGGGACACTTTCCCGTTCCCGATGATATTGCTGGTTTGCGTGGGCAACCCTCGGTTGGTGAGAAAAGGGCCTACAAAGGTTTGTTTACAAAAAGCTTGTATGCCCTTTTCACATGTTGTTCTGGATATTATGAATTCGAAAATTTAAAACATGTATTTCGTGATTTTAGACCGAAAATTTCCTGGGTAAAACACATTCACTGTATTTACTTACGAAACTCAAAACAACTGCTTCACAAAACTCTTGGTGAAGAAAATTTATCACAAAGAAAACCATTTCTTCCTTATTGCTTTGCTAGCAATCGTGAATGTATCATTGAAACAGCGGTGCCAGATGTATTCCCCCCTATTCTGCGAGTCACGTGACTCTCTCTCACCGGTGAGGTGACTCTCCATTTGATTTGCATGGAGAGTCACCTCACACGAGGTGACAATTGTCACCTCACCGGTGAGAGAGAGTCACGTGACTCGCAGAATAAGGGGGATTGCCTCTAGCAATGACTTTAAGTTTATTAAAACAATTAATTGCGAAGTCTGACTTATTAATATAGATGAGTGGATGTATTTAATGGTGGATAAATATCAAAAACTGATGAAATAAAACATAAATGACCATTTTAGACATTTTACCGGTCCAATTAAAAAAGTCACAGAAGATTGAATTGAACACTAACAGGGTTGATGGCAGCAGTGCACGTAGCCTGGTATTCACTTTCCCGCTCAGGGGTGTAAACAAACTTGCATACAGCGCAATCTGGCAGTGTGAATGTTTTGTCTGCTACATTCTTATGTCGTTTTCGTTTTTGCGGTGTAGCTACACCGGTGCTACACTGCCGTACACCGAAATATTTTAGGGTGTAGATATAGGATCCACCGTTGTTTACAAACAAATGATGTTGAGCTGTCAAAGACTCGTGCTTATTCCTGCTTACACTACACCAGTGCTACACCGCAAAAACGAAAACGACATTATCCACTGGATAGTGTAACATCACATTTGCTGTTGTATTGAAATGAAGGAAGAAAAGAGACAAATACTTTTTTTTAATAAAGCACCCTAAAGCTGGGTTTAGATAGGGCAAGTCAATTGATCAAGTCAGTTGAATTCAATTGGCTTGCAAAGTTGAGCCTGGTTCAACTTTTTTCAATTCAAGTGAGTTGATCAAGTCAGTTGAATGGCATGGTTTACACGTTCAATTCGCGTTCAAGTCAGTTGAATTCAACTGACTTGATCAATTGACTTGCCCTATCTAAACCCAGCTTAATGGACATCGACTTAAGTGCCTACAGGCACTCTGCATACCACTCGAAAGCGCAAGGAATTCGGATACCTTTCAGAAACCACCAAAACACCCGGATCGGTACTTTCCAAGCTCCTCTTAATATTCTGGTTTCGATTTCACACACGCCTGAATTGTTGTTGTTGTTATCTGACTATTTTGTTTGCATAATTTAAAAAAGTACTTCTATCCATTATTTTGCTTTACTTACTTTGCTGAAGAAGCCTTTTTTTTTCAAGTAACTGCTCGGCTGTTTTCTGTTTTTCTGTGTTGTTTAATTTGTCTCCATCATCATAATCATAACATTTTTGTTGCCCCACCAAAAGAATCACTTTCGCAAGGACGATGAATCGAGTTTGTTGGTTTGATATTCGTTTTTATTTCATCTACTGCCCAGCGGGTACTGAGTACGAAAGATACGCGTAGTAGTAGGAAATTCTTACCGTTTTGTTTTTATTTCTGCCTGGCTTACAGCTGAGCAGGACTACGTAAACTTATTTGTTGGGTTTGAACACCAGTCTACACATGGGGGTGGTGCTTAGTTGTTGTTCATATATTACAAAAAACTGTTTCAATGGTTTAAACTTTGATGATTTCTTCTAAACTTGCGAAACATATGGGCACGTGGATCGTGTAACGAATCGAATTTGTTTTTATGTATATATCGGTAGGAAAGTGACCCACCGAGGAACGGAAATAGGATAAATTTCCGTTGGCGCGCGTAGGCCACATGATGTACTAACAAATACGTGAGGAATCATAATTTCCTCTTGCACTATGCTGATGGGATTAAGCTCTTAGTCGAGACGAAAATGTTCGCACAATCGAAGCGTGTTCTTGTTTCGACTGTGTGTTTGTCGCAATATAGTACAATATTTTATTCTTGGGATTCGCTTCGTCCTGACTGATTTGTTGAACCGTTAGAATTCCCTCTCTATCTTTCTATGCTGGCAGATGGGACTAAAATAGCTTTCTAGAAGTTGATTTTAAAAACTAAACTGTCACTCCTCTATATTGAATGCTCCGTCCGTTTCTCCGTAGCTTCGCTTGGGAGATGACGAAAGAAAGGAAGAGAAACGGGCGGACCAGTGCCCTCAACTACTACTCCGTGTTGTGTTTCGGTTTGAACAGTTCGAAATCGGCTAGGCTAGTTTTAGTTGGCTTTTATTTCGTTTGCCTTGTTGTTTTGCTGTGGCTGCGGGGTGGTGGCTTTCGCTGACTGTTGCTCCACCGGGCACATAGTCGTTCCGGTGGCACTGGTCGTGACGGTCGCTGACGATGCCGGCGACGACGACTGGGTGGTGGTGAGAGTGGCAACAGTCGAGGCAACATCGGCGAACACAACCGCCAGCGGGAATCGCTTTTGGCAGCACTTTTTGAATTCATCCACCTGCTCCTCGGTGACACCGCTGAAGAAGCCAGCCTTTAGTAGCAGGTAAACTTTCGTTGCATTCTGAAAGAGGTACCATAGAGAGAGAGGAAGGTCCGATTGTTAGTTTTACTAAATGGATTATTACGGTTGGCAATGTGTTTGTCAATCAAAAAATAGTTTATGAACTTCAATACAGTTGCAACCTCTAGAGAAGTTCATTAAACTTCAAGGAAGTTCTACAAACACCAGGAAAATTCAGCAAACTTTAAAGACGTGCTTCGAACTTCAGAGAAGTTCTTCAAATTTTAAGAAAAGTACTGGAAACTTTCCCGGTGGTGCGATATAGATTTAAATTAAGCATAGAACGAATGCGATTGAGCCGAAGGGATCACTAGACTAAATGGGTATTTTTTTCTGTTCGGGTAATAAATCCACTGCTACCAGATATTTGATCTACTGAAGTATAAAATTTAATTTAAAAGTGACAGCGAATCACCTCACCTCAATCGCACGCGCAGAATAAGGAGGAATATCGGGGCCTCAGAAAGCCTATTCAGTAAAAGCACGGTATTAGAGGTTCGATTCCCGGTCCGGTCGAGGAAATACTTCAGGTAGGACTCGACTTCCCTGAGCATACCGTATCATTAAGTTTGTTACATAGGCGAATGACAGTGTAATGTTAAAACCTCTATAATAAAGAATAATAATAATAAGTGTGCTTGCTACACAATATGCAAATTCATGTATTGGTTGGCGTAGAAAGTTCTCGATTAATAACTGTGGAAGTGTTTCAAGACCACTAAGTTGAGAGCAGACGAAACCTTGGTTTATTGTATACTGCAGTTACTTCACCAAAGAATAAAGTGTGTCTTCGTTTAACCCTGGTTTCGACAGACAGAATCAATAGATAATGTATCGTATAACATTTGAAAACGTCACAAAAGTTGTTAGGCCCTTTACACGTGAACCGAATTATGCCACACAAACCAACATAATGGGCGAACATCAGTTCGCGTGGAAAGAGCCTTACCCCTTTTGTTTTTTTTTAATCTTTATTTTAGAGATGTTTAGTCTAAGGCTAGTTCATCTCTAACCCCTTTTGTTATAAAGCTTTTGAGCCGTTTTCAAATGTTACGCCTGATGTGTCCAACTCTGCACAGTCTACAACCGTCATTCGAGTAAGATGTTGTTGATGATATTGTTCATCACACATAATAAATGGTCGAAGCGAAGAATGTACCCAATACGGAATAATAAGGATGTTGTTGAATCGAGCCAGATCAATTTAGGCGAAACCCACGAGAGAACAAACATCTTTTATGATGTCTTATAATTGGAATAAGTTGAGCATAATCCCTCCCGAATGGTAGTTTTATAGAGTTCTCTACCACCGTTAGTATTAGTGATCAGTTTCACTAATACCTACATGCGTTTTACTGGTTGAAAATAAAAAACAAACCGCTGTCAAGTCGAACACTTTGACAGTTGATTTCGTGGTTGAATATAATAAACAAATCGATTTTACACGAATACACTAGCAAGGTTGTGTTAGTGATTATTTGTGTTTGGGACTATTCCAAGCATAAGGTAAACAATCCACTTATTCGCGCCGCGAGTGAGGTGAGGTGACTCTCCGTGCACATTAAATGGAGTCACCTCACTCGCAGTAACTATTGACACCTCATCTCTCTCGCGGCGCAGAATAGGCCTCAATAATTTTCAACCGGCCGAACCCGTTCTCCACCCTACTTAAATGAAATTCCCAACATGAACTCACCTCCAGTGTCACCGTCTTCAAATCCGCCGATGTAAGCAACTTTACCGCTTCGTCCCGCTTCTTCTCGTCCTGTTGATACATAACCTTGGCCACCTCGAACCGTGCATCCGCGTTGTCCCGGTTCGCTGCCAGGTAGCCATCGTTTATTTCCGCAACCGATTTCTGCCCCCGGAAGAGCTTCTCCCGTGCCCGATCGATGACCAGCTTTACGCTTTCATCAACTTCATTGCCAACAATTTTGCTTTCCAAGATTTTGTAGAACCGGATTGCACAATTGTGCAACGTCGGGTGGTTGGCATCGATAGCGTGAGCCCGTTTCAGCGATTGCAACATCAGCAGCAGCTTACCCCGGCGGCTGTAGATTTCGAACGCCATCAGATGGGTTTCGATGTTGTCTTTTCCGAGCATCTGCAGCGGTCGGAGGAACTCGATCGCCTTCTCGAGGGGATCCTCCGGTCGGGCCAGTTTGTCCGGTATTAGTTCGTCCAGCTGGGGTGCCTCTGGATCACCGTCTTGGTTTGGATTCCGCTGCTTGTTGTGCTGTTCCTTCTTCTGGTTCGCCTGGGCAGCTTGAGCATTTTCCTGTTCGGCCTTCTTCTTGGCTGCTTTGCGTTGCTTGTTGCGGAGCTTTTTCAGTTCCGATGGCGGTAAGTTTTCTAAAAGAGTAGACATGCATTAAAGACGAATTTGACAAGACAAATTTAGACCATACCAATATCAAGTTCTTCCTCAGCAGATTCCGCCGGTAATGGTTTGTCAAAGAGGCGAAGATAGACCTGTAACGAGCGATTAAGATTAGCTAGCTTCCTTGACGAACCGCACCCCGCGCAATCACACACTTACCTCGATAGCGCACTTGGCAGCCTTGAAGTAGAACGGATGCCTTCGTAACACGTCCTCCAGCCGGAGCAATCCCACGTACGAGCGCAGCGTCATCTTGCGCATACAGTACGTATGAAAGTCGAACTGATCTTCGATGATTTCCGAAAAGTGTCGATCCACCTCGTGGCACTTTTTCAGCGATTCACCCCACTTCTCCAGCCGCTGATAGGAAAGGGCACACTCCGTCTGGAACCACATGCACTGCATCTCGTTGAGATTTTCCATCGCCGAGACGCCCTCGCGGGTGAATTTGGCGCAAATTTCTTCCGCTTCCTTGATCTGATTGGCACGAAGCATGTACTTGGCGCACTTGGAGTTGATGTACCGATCGGCCGTGTCGAGACTCTGCGCTTCGTCCATCCATTTGACCGCTTCCAGAACATCGCCAGCGTGTTTGTAGATGCGACCCTTGGTGACGAACAGCTCAATCAGCGTCGGAGTGTGTTCGATGGCCGCATTGATAAAGTCCAATGCCTTCTCCGATTCACGTAGATGATCGTAGTGCTGTGCCAGGTAGAACAGAGTCCACAGCAGTGCCGAAGCCGGTTCTTTTGGCAAGCTTTGTTCCTTATCTGCCGCCGCAAAGTAACCGCTGCTCGTCAGATTCTGGTGGTAGCCTTCGACCAGTTCCGATATGACCCGCACCTTCTTCTCATCGCGATAGAGTGAGCGGAGATTTACGAACAGCGGTGGTACACCCTTCCGAAGATTCCGACGAAGATGTTCGTCGATAAGCGTACGGAACGTCTCATCCTGGGCTTCATCCAACGGTAACCGTCGGGCACAGAAGGATTGCGGGTATTCAGCTTGAACTTTCTGATACGCTGCAATCACATCGGGTCCTTCCTCCACTTGCAGTGCCTTCAGATATTGCTGATAGTAGGCGATGTTTTCCGGATTGCGCTTGATCAGATCCCGGTAGACTCCAACGGCTTCCTCGTGGCGAGCGAGCTTAAGGCACAGTTCACCCATGGTCTCTTTCACAGCGAGTGTGTCAAGGATTTGCGATTGGTACTTTTTCAGATGGTGCAACGCCTTCTCGTAGTTGCCCGATTCCTGAATCACCTGGTTCTGGTACAGGAGCAGTTCACTGTGCTTGTAGTCGTAGGTTTCCTGAAAAAATAATTAAGTTTGGTTATCATTAAAAAAAAATCAATGATTTCTAAAATAAACCCATACATACCACCGTTTGCGAGGATCGGAACGTCTCCAGGATGTTGTTGGCCGTCTCGTAGTCCCCCAGCAGATGGTAACTCATGGCAAACCCGATCCACGAGGCGTGCTGCGACGGGCGCAGCTTGAACAGGTGGTGGCGGGTTTCCCGATAGCCTTCCAGGTCGCGCATCTGTATCTGCAGTAGCGACAGGTCACGCAAGATTTGGATGTTGTCCTTTTCCCACTTGAGCGCATTCCGGTAGCACTTGATGGCTTCCTCGTACTTCTTGTCCGATCGCTGCAGCAAACCGTACACGTGCCAGCAGACGTGCGATTTCAGATCGTTGCGCAAACCACGGCGAACGTAGTCGTACGCTTCCTCCTTCCGACCGAGACAGTTCAGGGTGAGACCCTTCATTGCCAGCGTTTCGCCATGTTCGGTAAACTTTGGATTGGTCAGGATCTGCTTGGCCAGCTTGAGCCCATTTTTGTATTGTTTCATTTCGTAACATTTCTGGTGGCGGGGGAGGGGAGGGGAGAGAATTGAAAAGTTCAATGAGATGATGGGTCTGTGTGAATCGGTACGAATTTTTCTAGAGTCGGTGTATAATGAGTCACGCCAAGAGAAAAACAGTTCAACTCGCATCACGGTTTTCGAAAGATTCCCTTTCTTTTCACTTGGCAACAGAGGACTTCTACATCAACTTCAAATGACTTCTAGCGAGAAAAAAAAAATAGCGGCTGTAGTAAATCATTATATCAGTGATTTAGTCAAATTATCTCAACCAAAAATAGTAGAAATTCTCATAAGTTATCATTACCAAACGTATCCCATGACAATTTATTGCTCACTGCGAGTTTATGATCATTTCTTCGATTATATTTTATATTTTATTGCAATACCTTTCGTGGACCTTTCATAGCATCGTAATGTTTGTTTACTCTGCACGATAGGTAGCCGGTTTGACAGCTCAATAGGTAGACTTGGCTTCACTCTTGGCGTGACTCATTATACACCGACTCTAAATTTTTCATTCATGGAGTAGAAAGAAAAACAAACTGAACATTGCATTAGGTCCTAAGTAACATTGACAGATTCTCTTCGTAGACTTTTTTCTTTGTATCTCCACGGTCATGAAAAGTCATTCCCAGGTATTTTCAGCACACATTTTATCTATTATGTAATACGACAAACACAACAAGAAAGTCGACGAAGAGAATCGATCAATGTTACTTAGGACCTAATGCAATGTTCAAGCTTGAAATGTGAATTATGGATCAACAATAGAAAATGACCCATGAGCATTTCCTAACCAAACGAAGGCCGCCCACACAAACCAACAATATCATCGGATAGGGAAAAGTTTCCCCTACCCGATGAAGGGTGTAGGTTTGCGTGGGCGGCCTTCGCTTTGTGAGGAAAGGGCTTTAGAACAGTTTGTTTACAAATGCTGATGTTAACCCAGAATTGTAGTTCGAATCTTTAGTGCACAAATATCAGCTTCTACGACACGTGCAAAATTCAAATTGTTACTCCACGTTTGCTGCACTGCAGCATACATGAAGTAGCAATTTCAGATGAAATGGAGCACCGATTTCCGAGATTTGTGTAGTTGAAAATTCGAAGTGCATGTATACCCTACGTGGCGGCCATTTGTGGACTCTACAAGGAATATATTAATAATTAATAATATTATGAATGAAAACATAAATAAATAAATACATAACTGCATACATTTGCTTCGCTTTTCTAGGCTCGAGACATTTTATTTTTACAAAGCCTAAGAACTCATTGAGTAACTTAATCATGAAGTATTTTTATGGTCACTAGGCCGAAGGCTATTGGGGTGAATGCAAGGGATAATCAACTCTGCACGCTGTGCCGAAGCACATCGTAGCACACTGATCGGCACGTTAGGGCACACGATGACAAGTATTACACAGAATATAATATAAAACGACATCACTGCTTTGGGATGACATTTTGCCAAGCGTAGTTAAGGTTGTTTACTTCAAAGTAAGGAAGATTATTTTATGTTTCAACATTCTAAGTGTTTTTATGTTACTTCATACGGGAAGTTTACGATTTTTAGAGTTGGTTGGAAATGCTATCGAACATGAAGCTTTAGTGTGATAATTTATTAGCTAGAAAAAGGTCTGAAGAGGGTCGGTTGATAGTTCCGCTAGAATACGGCAGCATGAAAATTGACTAGAAGTTGAAAATGAGCGAAGGGCCATTAATGCGACAGTACTAGTCAAACGCACACTTCTTTACCTAACTCATACAGTAATGGATGAGGAGGCTTGAAGTATTTCTTCAAATCTATAGGCCAAAAACGTGCATTTGACTTGCTCATATACTGTCTGGGGCTGTGGAGTAGTTCTAGCGACATTTCATCACTACTTATGACCCCACGTTGCCGAAAGCATTTCCAGTCGATGGTGTGTTATAATGCAATTCTTCTTTACCCAACTATTGCTCCTCTCGTCATGACAACGTAGTCATCTAAGAGAGAAAGCATCAGTTAGGAAACCACGAGAAAGCCTGGTTTGGTCATTGGTGGACGAGTTTATTTTTTCTCGGTCTGATATTTTCACTTGTTTCCGTTAAATTCTTAGTGTAATTTACACAATTTTGATGTGAACGGAACCGAATAGTAAGGGCTTTAAGCACTAGTGCATTGATTAACCGATTGCTTAACTTGGAAAAAATGGGACTGACTACAATACGAGGGCATCAGATCAAGGGGCAAGACAGCTTCTTATCATGAGCAATTTCAGAGTTGCTTTTGAGACACCACGAGTAACTCACATTGCTCAGTGAGCAAGATCACTGTAATTTGCTTTCTCACTTTTTCTCGCATTACAGCGAAGGCGAAGCCGAAAATCTGTTGTCAAGCAAAGCAACAACAAAAATCGGGGGCTTCCGGGCTGCAACTCCAGGCGAGTATGATTGCAATTTTGAACTTTCGGCTCCCGGGATCGCTCCTGGAATGGCCTCCGGATTTATTATCAAAACGTGCATGGGCTGAGGACTAAACTGGTTTTTCTGGACTGTTGCAGAGGCTGAATATGATTTGATCGTACGGAAACGTAACTGGATGACCGGATGTATTCAACGCAACTTTCCGGATTACTTTATTCCGTCTTTAGAACTGATCGATCTCCCCTGAACAGTCAATAATCACGCGGTGGAGGCGTTCTGATTGCTTTCTCAACAAGACTAACCAGCTACCTAAATACCTCGCCCATTTTCAGTCTACTGGAACAACTCTGGATTGTCGTGAAATTTCCACAAAACATACTCAGTATACTATCCAGCTTTCCATGCTCGGTAATGGCGGCCTGTTTGTATGAATAAATGTATCCTTCACTGTGCTTTTTGACACTAACCGGAGGGCGTATGTTGTTCCATTTTCTTCTGTTCCTGAGAGAGGGAAAGATAAGGGTCAAAATCCGATCCTCCAGATAGCACAGTGAAGGATAGATTTGTTCATACAAACAGGAAGCCGTTACCGAGCATGGAAAGCTGGATAGATACTGTCTACCTACTTCCCGATCGAAAAAACGACTGCACGATTATTCGTGAGGATGTGGAATCGTTAGGCTCGATTGAGTCTCCGCTCTCCTATTTGGCGACTACAACCAAGCTAGTTTGCAGTGTCGCTTCACCGACAGCGGCACACCTATCATTGACCCACTGCTATCGCATATGCTGGTGGCTTGCCGTGCTCTTTTGGACGGATTTAACTTACACGGGTTTACTCGAGTAAACACTTTTCCAAACCGAAACGGACGTTTGCTAGATTTTATCCTGGCAAATGAGCCGCATTACCGGGAAACTTCTACTTCTTTGCCGGTCTAGATGCTGACCATTCCGCTCTCGTCGTGTCATTCAGGTAACCTACACTGAGCCAAATAAATCTAAGAATTTCATAAGGTTCTACTTATGAACGGCACATATGAATTTGCTTAAGCGTGACTTATGAATGATTTTCGTCTAACATGAGGTAGCTCGCGTTGCTTTCAACTGAAATTCAACTGGCCTATGCGCAAAAACAGCAAATGGGTTCAGTTTTCTTGGACATTAAGGGGGCTTTTGATTCTGTTTGTATCGATGTCCTTTCGGATAAACTCCACGATAGTGGGCTTTCACCAATTATGAACAACTATTTGAGCAACTTGTTGTCTGAGAAATATATGAGCTTTTCTCATGGAAACTCGACAACTTCACGAATTAGTTACATGGGTCTCCCCCAGGGTTCATGTTTAAGCCCCCTTCTTTATAATTTTTATGTAAAAGACATTGATGGTTGTCTTGATGAAAATTGCTCGCTAAGGCAGCTTGCAGATGACGGCGTTGTATCCGTTATAGGGCCAAGTGCACCGGACCTGCAAGGACCATTGCAAGATACCTTAGACAATTTGTCTACTTGGGCTATGAAGCTGGGTATCGAATTCTCTCCGGAGAAAACTGAGTTGGTTGTTTTTTCTAGGAAGCATCATCCTGCACAGTTACAGCTTCAACTAAAGGGTAGAACAATCACTCAAAGTATATCTTTCAAGTATTTAGGTGTCTGGTTCGATTCCAAAAGCACATGGGGAAAACATATTGCGTATGTGAAACAAAAATGCCAACAAAGAATCAATTTTCTTCGTACAATCACTGGAACTTGGTGGGGAGCACACCCGGAAGATCTGATCAGGTTGTACCGAACAACCATCTTGTCGGTTCTAGAGTACGGAAGCTTCTGCTTTCAATCCGCGGCGAAAACACATATCCTGAAGCTGCAACGGGTTCAATACCGTTGCCTCCGAATCGCGCTTGGCTGTATGCACTCGACGCATACGATGAGCCTTGAAGTACTCGCGGGTGTTCTCCCACTGACAGATCGTTTCGCGGAACTGTCCTTCCGGTTTCTTATCCGTTGTGAAGTAATGAACCCATTAGTAATAGAAAACTTTGAGAAGCTGCTCGACAGAAATCCTCAAACAAGATTCATGAGTCTCTATTACGAGTACATGACGCTGGAGATTGGCCCTTCTTCATTCAATTCCTCTCGTGTTTGCCTCCAAGACTTTTATAGTTCCTCTGTAAATTTTGATCTGACCATGTTGCAAGAAATCCGTGGAATACCAGATCACCATCGATCGATGGTTGTTCCCTTAATTTTTGCAAACAAGTACCACCATGTTAGTAACAATAAGAGTTTTTTCACAGATGGGTCAACTATAAACGCTTCCACTGGATTTGGAGTATTCAACGAATTTCATAGCGCCTCATATCAACTGCAAAAACCCTGTTCCGTATACGTTGCGGAACTAGCAGCCATATTTTACGCAGTAGAGCAAATTGCCTCACTACCATCTGATCACTATTTTATTTTTACTGATAGCCTTAGCTCGTTGGAGGCTATTCGATCAATGAGGCCGATGAAGCACTCCTCGTATTTCCTGACCGAAATCCGAGCAAAATTGAGTACTTTATCTAACTGCTCCTATACTATCACCTTA